GAATGCTGTTCCATAGTCTGGCGCAGAACATTTTTATAATTAAAAATGACGAATACATAAAGAAACTGTATCACAGAGTCCAGTCGTTGGAAAGTGATTTGAACTTATTGAAAAATAAAATTGAGACGATGGAAAATGCTAGTTCTATATTGTCCCTGTGCGGGTCTGGAGGCAATGCTATTTCGGTAGGCAGTAACTTTGTGCCTGTCGTTGGTGATGTAATCGGGTATGTTAGCGCATTAGTTTCTGCAACTTGCTATTTGGTCAACGAATTCAAGTTGTAAGATAATGTCAACCTTACATTCTTATATAAAAATGAACGAATGAATTCTAAATTAACTATTTTATTTTGCAAGTTGCACTGCATTGAAACTTCCGGAAATAATCAGATATGTACTACTACATGAGTGTATGAGACATGTGAGAATTTTTCAGATTTTTATATTATTTTTATATAAACTGAAACTGGAAAAAATTCCCAAAGTATGAATATCAATTTTAACGTTAATTCCCAGTTGAATTTAATTAATAATTTTATTTTACGACTTGGTGTGGATTAAAAATTCTGCAAAATCAGATACGTACTATTATATCAGTAGCACATGTGAGAATTTTATCAAATTCGTAAGTTGCAAATTAAAATCGGAAAAAATTGTCAATGTTTCACAAGACTATCTATCTTAATTAGTACTTAATTAATTTCTCCTATCTTAATGAATGAAAATCGATAAAAAAAAACGGAGATACACTACTATACACGTTAAGAAAATAATTCAATTTGCCAATGCGTGCATGCGCGATATTATGTTCGTTATTCATGTGTGCCAGTTTTTAGTCACTTATGTAGCTGAATACGTGATGTAGAACACGTGTTAATAAGTGTATTAAATAAAGTTCATTTTCTAAAGTACAATCGAGTTAGTCTCACCAAGGCATTGGATTGTGTGTCAACCTTTGCCTCATCAATACAAATAGTACACGTCAGAATTTTTTCAAATGTTTATGTTGTAAACTGAAGCAAAAAATATTTCTGATGGTTTAACACATTCATACTAACGCTGCAATTAAGTTTTCGATCATTAGGCGGCTGCTTTAACGAACTACATATGTGGTGGTACTCACTGTTCGATGTGCCATTTAGATGTAAGTCATCGGTGATACGCGGCAGCGTAAATGTGTTAAAGAAGACGACGCTTCAAGATACATAACAGCGTTGGCATTCAGTATGACAAGTCGCAAGTGAAGAAGTTTCGTGCAGATGGTTGGCTTCTTGGAAGTGACTATCGATCTGGGGTCGTCGGACAGCGGAAGGTCACCGTAGATCACGTTGCAGTTTTAAAGGCACTTAAAATACGCGATGGTCCTACGTAGGTGTACACCCAACCCCGGATTCACAAGAAATGAGAATAGTCTAAAAAGGAAAAGAAAAAATTCGGAGTAGGTTATTAAATTGAAAACAAATACTTGCGTTAGTGTGAATGGTTGCACTAAGTGGAGATAGTGAAAAATATTTGTTTAACTTTATTGTACAATGTTACGTAACATTTTCACATTTCTCTCTTATAAAATCTTTAAGGGAAAAAACAATTTCCTCCACAAGCATTCGAACCCGGTACTAGTGCTTTTATAGTCAGCGACCCTACTTTTTCTTTAAGATAATTTTTTATTGAGCCCAGTACAATATATGTTATAC